GAGAGGATACAAAGCTCTTCTGCAGGGCTGCCAGCATCCACGTCAGCTGGAAGCACAGCCCTCAACCCACGCTTGCACTTGGGCTATCCTCACAGAGAAACGCCAGCAGAAGTCAGCTTGGGTGTGACATCCCTCAGCTTGGCCATGCTGCCAGCACGCCAGCCTTCCTGCAGCATCTCAGGGAGGAAAAGGAGCTCCTTGTTGTCCCCTCAGCAGCCACAGACATGTGGCTGTATGAGTAAATATCAACAGGTTGTCTGAAAACAGCAGTAAAGGAGGGGGGGAGGGGTAATACACAAATAACCAGAGAAGCCAGAGACTATTCCAGCAGTTAAATATAGGCTTCTACATCCAGGCAGGGTGGAACTTTATGAGAGACATAAAAAAAGGATATCTTTAAAAACAGCCCAGATTTATTCTTCAGTTGCATGCCACCTTTTAAAATGCATGGAGTAAATCAGAATTAGAAGGTGCCTGCATGACTGACTTCTGCATGTAGCCATGATTGAATTCCCCTCACCAAGCGGTGGTGTTTCCAGTTCAAGGCTTCATTTGCATTATACACACTTTTTATTAATGGTGCGGAGAAAGAAATCATTCTGCATAAGAGACACCAGGATGTGAGAAGGGCCACTGGGAGCAATGAAGAGGATTCATTGCACCGAGTGATCTGGATCACTGCTTAAGCAGGGCACAGAGAAACAATATGGACTTGAGCAGGTCCAAGTTCTTTCCCCCAGGAATAAATACAGCTAGCTACAGTAAAAGGGTGGGAAATCCTATCCTGGGCCGCAACTACCCTCACATGCCTGACTGGATAACAAGCTGGATGGGGGGAGCTCCAGGGGTGCCAATGTCTGAAAGGGCAAGTGTTAATGAGCTACGTAAACGAGGAACATTGCGTCACATTGCAGAGCTGATATTATATCTGATTAGCCTCTGGTTCAGCTGGTACTGCAACGGTGTCCAGGTTGGCTTTCCACAGTTAAAAAAGAGGTTTTGACAACAGTGAAATAATTACAGGGCTCCAGGTTCTATCTGTTTAAAGCATTAAACAACCAACAGCACAGGGCTTCTCACTGTATCTGACAAAGATACTGCAAAATCCCAACTGGTAACTAGAAAATACAGGGTAAAACTAAGATGCAGATCTGTGCCAGACATGGCAATTAGCTAGTGGAACAAGTCTGAAAAGGCCGTGATGGATTCTCCAGACACAGTGTTATAATCACGAGGACTGAATGAATGTTTCACAAACTGGAATTAATCCAAAGGGTCGTGAAAAACACCAAATTTTATTATTTCAAAACCCTTTTACCTGAGAAGCTGTGACTCTCTGAACATGCACCTAAGGAAAGTTAGCAAAGACACCATTCAGGAATAGCTGCACATCTAGGAAAGGAAAGGTTTTCTAAAGATTATTACACTTGGCCAACTTAAAGCATTCAGAAGTTGTGAGTCAGGGCCCTCAAGCATCATGCAACTGGCTTAAAAATACTGATATTTTAAAACAGGAAAAAGTATTGGTTACTTTTTATTTGCCTTCTGTTTTTTTGTCATTTTAAGCTTCAGGGTTCAAGCTGGTCCCTGCAATCATGATGTCCATAAAGCAAAGGCCACTAAGTCTAATTTATAATTATACTTATTATTTATAAATGCTGAGATTACCACATCATATAACTCTAGGAGGTCTTCAGGATAATACCAAGTGTCTTAAGATTTACAGTAAGGTTGTGAGATTTCACCATGGTGATTATAAAGGCAACAATCCCTATAAAACCAACCACATGCCAAAAAAAAAAAAAAAAGAAAGCCAAACCAAAAAAGCAAGTTAAGTGGCAGCTGCATTTATCCCATCTACTTCAACAGCTCCCTGCCAGTGTTTGAGGGTTTCCAGCCACACTTCCATCAGCACACAGGGACTGAAGGGGAGTGGATGATTGGTGGCCCTACAGGTCTTTTCCATCCCTGGTACCTGTGGGTGCTTCTGGACCAATGCAAATCTGTGCTTCTCTCTTTTCTGGAAGGTAGAAGCCTTTTGCACAGTCCCTGTCTGAAGGATATCAGGATGGATGGGCTGGGGAACAGATACTGGCCAGAGAAAAGGAGATGCTGGGGTATATGAGATTCCCATCCGACCACAGGCAAAGCTCCGTTTCCATTTGCTTCCTTCCCAGGCCCTCGCAATGAGATGAAAGCTGGAATTTCTCACCTCGCTTGCTCCTAACAGAAAAAACAGCCTCTCCAAACTTTACTCTATTAACCTTATGAAACCAGGCAGTCCCTGACCTTGACCTCTCTTATTGAGGTCCTCTGTCCCAGTCAGACATCCATCTGTGAGCCTCCCCAGCTCCCAGGTAGGGGCGGGAAGCAGTGAGCAACAGCAGAGGCACGGGAAGGTTTGTGCTTGGGAGCAGCCTGGCAGCATAACACAGCTCCCAGCTCTCCTCCAGCAGTACTCAGGGGCTTCTGCCCAGATGAGTCCTCTAGCAGAGATGGGGCTGACGTCCCCAGACAGGTAACCTGCCTTAACCCTCTCCATAGACAGGAATATCTGGGGCAGAGGCAATTTTGTGAAATCACATTTTAGCCATGCTCATTCCAGACCTGAGCAAGTCCATACCACGACACAGTCCGAGATGCACGCATGAATGCACCAGAGCTCGGCTGCTTCTTTAACTTGCTCTCACACAGATGGAGAAATGGCAAGTGATGAGCACACTGGAATTACCGCCACTTCCTAAAAGCTTTTGTCACCCAAATATTCCCAGGTAACAGGGCCGCAAGCGGATCCTGCAGTCTCTGTGAGGCCAGTTACAAACTTGGATACAGCACAGGAGAAAAAACCAAACAAGTTCACACCAATTAAGAACAAGTCCAGGTAATGCCAGTGGTGAGTACTTCAGTGCTCCCAAGCAAAGTGAAAGGTTGACATCCCTGGATCAGAAAATATCATAGAAAAAAAAAAACAAGATGAGGATGAAGGTATCCACTTCGCCGAGACCAAGAGGCTCACTGTCTGACATATCCTGCACAGCCAAATGTCCCCCCAGCTGCAAGCACTGTGCAAAGCAATGGCACAAAATACAGCCTGCAAGCGAGCAACTGTCCTGCTAGTGCTGATTACCACCTCACATTTAGCCAGAAGGAACACGTAGGTAGGAAACATCCCCCAAAATCCAGGCACCACGTGAAAGGACCTACCCGAAGTCACCTTATAGAAAGCACAAGACAGACCATACACCTTAGACCAAACCTAGCTTGGGTGAAATACCCCCCGAGGTATGTCAGCCTCCTAACCTACCCGTGGAAATGCATGCTGGAATAATCAGCAGGGATATTTGCGGAGCGAGAGATATTCAGGTCCTTGCTGAGCCGCATGAAAGACACCAGCCAAGACTTTTTAAGAAGTCTGCAAACCGCAGTGACTCTGCTCTGCCACGCTGCCAGTCCTCTGCTGCACAACACATCCACCCAGTGTCCCTGCACCTGCCAGGAGGGACATTTCTCCACCATCATGCAAAGAAAACAGCATGCAGGGGTAGCAGGCATTCCCTCTGCAGTGTGATTTGGGGGTCAAACTGTGCTGCCTTACCGGGAATTAGTAGTAACCATGATCATGAAGCAGGGGGGTTCTCCCCACAGCTGGTGGGGTGATCCAGCAGCGCCTTGGGTTAAGACTGGGGGCTGGCGTGTGCTGCTGGTGCAGAAAGCTGCCCTGAAATCAAGGGGTTTCTCAGCATTAACCTTGCTGATCAAGCACCTGGGAAAGGTGTTGGAAGTGGCCCCAAAGGGTTTCTCACTCAACACCAGTACCATTTCCAGTTAGCTGCAGCAGTGCATGCAGCACCCAGGTCTGCTTGCTTACATGGACTCAGCAGAACAGACTCTGTGGATATTGAATCATCATTTTCCTAGAGTGATAAAAAAACCCCAAACCGGCTCCTTTTCTGCGGGGATGAATCTGCTTGGTGCTGGAGATGTTTGTTAGCACTGCGAATGGTTGCGGGAGAGCATGGCCCCAGCTCAACCCCATTGCCCTCAACTTTGTATAGCTGTTTCTTAGCATAAACAGAGATTTTCGCTGAGCTCTTAAAAATATCTTGCTCTGAAAAAAACACACAAACTCTGCACAGTGGTAGGCTGGTAATCAAAACACACGTGTAGCTGAGGAAGGTCAGCGGCCCTCCGCTTGTCCCAACTGCCTTGCAACATTCACCAAAGCAACACTCCAAATTCCTCCCTGCCTTGACAACAAAACTTTCACAAACATTGAAAGGCAGAGTATTTACTCCCTCATTTCATGCCTTATGAATTTCAGAAAGGAAGAGCTGGGTCAGCTGTGCCACCTTTTCTCCATGCCTGCGCTGTGGCAAAGTAAGTGCGTGCAACTTAAGTCGATGCTGACAAAACCTTTGGGGATTTTGGGGTCAGGAAAGACCTAATGAGCCAGCCTGCAACTCGAAAGCCACCCACATTCACACCAGACAACTCCAGCCTTCCAAATCCAGCAAAATACTGTCCGGCAGGTCAAAAAGACGGGGATGAGACAGAGAAACACTTGTGTTTAGGTACAGTAAGAAAAGGGAAGGCCCCAACATGCAGGCTATCCTCTGGGCGCTGGGCAGGACCCGCGCTGCTCGCAGGGATCAGCTCGCAGAGAGTAAATGCTTTGGATTATTTTTAATGCGCTTGGAATAAACCGGTGCTTGTGGGGAGGCCTGGCACGAGGGGCCCGGTACCACGAAAACCCCACGTGAGCTCTGTTGGGAAGATTTAAGTAGGGGCATAAGCGACATATATGCTTTATATAGCCCTCTCAGAGATGGGGGTGCCACCCTGTGCCAGGGCGTGACGTCCCCACCATGTGCCTACGGCTGAAGCTCGCAGAGGCCACATCTACGTGAGACCCAAGCCCCGCAGAAGATGGCTCCTCCAGTAAGGGCAGGATCAGGCGCCTTTGGCAGACCCACCCCCCCACCCCTCTTGACGGCCATTACCTGCTCACCCCATACTCCGGGGGCGGCTGGTAGCGGACGAGGGGCACCTCCGCCCGGGCAGGCTGAGGGGCGGCGTAGGAGGCCTTGAGGACATCTTGCGCCGGCTGCTCGCCATAGAAGAGCCCGTGCTCCTGCGCTTTGCTGCCCGGGGCCACCGCCTTGCCTTTGTAGGGGTACTCGGGCGGTGGGCCCCGCGGGTCCGTGGCCTTGCCGGGTGGTGGGGTCGCCTTGAAGCCCTTCCCGCCCCCCGGGGCCGGGGGGTGCTGCTTGGCCCCGTTCCTCTCCAGCGAGAGCTGCATGATCCTCTCACTCAGCGAGCGGACGTGGCCCTGCTTCAGCTCCTTCAGCGCCTCGTCCTTATGCGCCTGCCCACTGTTGGCCCGGTTCACCGTCGGCCTCCCCTCTGTCCTGGACTTCGGGCCCGATGCACCATAGAATCCCGGCGGGGCAGCGGCGGTAGTGGCCGGCGGCGGTTGGCCTCGGAAAAACTGCGACTGGGCCTTGGCCTCCTCGTAGGTGGGGAGCTCCTCGGTGCCGTGCGGGGGCTGCGGGGCCCGGGGCTGCTTCTCCATCGCAGCACCGTCCCCCTGGTGCTCCTGCCCCTGCGGTTCCTGCCGCCCCGACGGCTGGACCATTGGCGGCTCTTCGGGCGTGAGGTTTTCTGCGGAAGAGAGAGTGCTGGCAGTGCTGTTGGAGGGGCCGGCGCTGCCCGTCGCCTGGTGCTGTATGGCCAGCAGGTTCATGTTCTCGCTGGGGTTGCCATACCTCAGCCGCTCCTGGATCAGGCGCTGCAGGACGGTGCCGGCTGCCACCTCCTCCGCCCCTCGCATCTCCGCCTCTGGGACCCGGCGGAAGCTGGGTGGGCGCAGGGTGCAGAGGGCCTCCTCGGCTGGGCAGGGAGAGAGACAGGCGGCCATTAGCTCTGCTGCCCGGGAGGTCCGATCCCCCACCCACCCTTTTTCCCCTCCTACACCCCACGGCTGTGACCCCCTGCCCAGGGTGCACCCCAGGGGCAGTGCCCTGCCAGGGTGCCCCTGGGAGCAAAGGGGACATAGCTGGAAGCAGGCAAAGTAGGCAGGGCACTGCTCCCTGCTCGTCTCCCCCACCCCAAATCATCCCTAATTCTGTTTGCAGTGACCCCTAAAAATATATTCCCCGCCCCTTCCCAGCCCTCCCCTCTGTAATACTTCACGTGCCCCATACCCACAGCACTGAACCCCCTCCCCAGTCAACGGAGGGACAGACAATGTCATAGGGAAATCTGGTCTTTTCTAAAATAGGAATGGAATGGAATGGGAATGGGAATAGAATATTTCGGTTCAGTTCGATTCAGTTTTGGTTCAGTTCAGTTGCAACTGCCTGACCGCTTCAGGGCTGACCAAAAGTTAAAGCATGTTATTAAGGGCACTGTCCAAATGCCTCCTAAACACCAACAGGCCTGTGGCATCGACCACCTTTCTAGGAAGCCTGTTCCAGTGTTTGACATCCTGCTGGGGATGCCCTGCATGGCTTACAGAGGCAGCGTGCATGGTAATACTAAATGCGATGCTGTATTTTTGATGGCCAAAGTCAGATGAGTCAAATCTCCTCCTAAGTGCACTGCCTGCTACAAAAAAGTGAAATGCAGACTGTGTCATAGAAAAACTGTGAAATGACACTGAAAATAAAAGTGTACTAAAAGTGTAATTAAAGAATAATCTGTGCACTGGCACCTTTCCCTAAAACTGCAATTTCCCTTCTGACCAATAATGCTATTTCTAAGAGAGTCAATACTAACTGTTTAATTACTGTCAATACTACCAACTAAGTGTCATAATTTTGCTGGGTGAGTACAAGGAAAGCATTACAGCCATAGATGTAACGCCAGCACTTTAAAAAGAACACAGACAGACCAGCTACAGAACACTAACAGACTATTGAGGTCATTCAGAGGCAATGGTACCATTTTTGCACCATACATGCAGCGGCACTTGCCCAGTGCTAAGCATCGAATGGCATATAACCACAGCTGGGAGGCTGGGATCCCTCCCTCCCGGAGCTCTCCTTCTGTCTGAACAGTGTCTGAGCCCAGAGGGGTGCTCCTGAAAGACCCCAGTGTAGATAAAAGTAAGACTAAGCCTGTAGCTCTGGACAGAGTCCTCCAATGTCCCTAGGCAAAAGGAGGTGCCGTTTTCAGTTCAGTTTTTTGAGGTCTTTCTTGGCAACTTTCTTTCTCCCTCCTGCTGTTTCCAATTCTCAGAGGAGTTTGTCAAAAGTACTTACATTTGTTTTTTGGCATTTGAAAGTAGTTAAAAAGCAAACTTTCTCTTGAGGTCTGGTATTTCCCTGAGGTTTCATCAGTTACTGCACATGCTGTGGGATAATTCACATACAACCCAGAGGAAGAGAAAAAAAAAAAAAAAAGCCTTTGCCTCTTGACTACGAGAATAGGTCATTTCCACTCACAATTTTGCAGCAAAGCCTTAAAGATCATTGTAGGGCTTGAGGGGAGAGAAGATTCCCAGGCTGTTTCCTTCCATGTCTGCCCTATGAAATACACTTCTCCTCCTTCCCCTGAGACAAGGCTATCTGCCTGCCAGCCTGACTTGTTGTGGTTGCAGCCTGGCCACCAGCCCTCAGAGGATCTGTCAGCTCCCTGGCCTGGTGTTTAAGCCAACAAGATGCACAGACACACACACCTCCATCTACCCATCTGCACAACAGCCAAGTGTCCATCTACTTCATAAGCCCCTGCAGCTCTTACTGCTTTATTCATGTTATTGCGGTACACAGAAGCCTCATCATACTGGACGTTTCCACAGACTTGAAATAAAAATCTCCCCAACATACCAGAAAGCTCACCCTAACATACCAGAAAGCTCACAGTCGAGGTTGTTAGACTACACCTGAGATAAGCTCAATGAAAGTGGAAAAAGCCAACTCTGTGTGGTCAGGACAGCTCTTAATCATAGACCCAAGGATTTTTACCCCCACGCTAGTCATCTGTTACCATCCTCATATTTGGGGGATGTATCTTAATTGCCTATTTTTGAAGTTCAAAAGGACAACCACAGTGTATCTTCCACAGGGCACCTTTGGTCCTGCTCCATCAGCAAAAAGCTATGGATCTAAGTCCAGTTGTGCAGTGAAGAACAACCATGCCCTGAAGGACAAGCAGAAATGTTGCATCCTCCACAAGCATAAGTGACAAATGATGGTGGGTCGTAACACTCCAGTCAAAGGCAACTCCCCTTCGACTTTATGGAGGAGGAGGAGCTGGCCTTCAACTCCGTAAATATTATTTGTAAATGGTCTAACCTGCTCAATTTATGCTTCAGAAAAAAACCTGGAAATAAATGTGGCGGATTCGTATGAAAGTGTGGACACCCACTTACCAGCTTTTTCTTTGGCACTGATTGCTTCAGCTGTTAGCGGAGGAACTTCATGCCTGCCAGCAAATAACTGGTGATCCTGGTAAAGAAAGCCAGTGTCTTCCAGTACCTGGACTGGGCTGGTAGGCTTGTAACAAACAGATGTGGAGCCTGCAAGAAAAAACAGGATGTCAGTAAATAAAATACCCAAATGACAAAATATAAAGCCATCACTTATGACAGAAGCAAAAAAAAAAAATTTCTTGAGCGTGGCTAGGTGCCTAAGAAGCCTTGCCAAGGCCACCGAGCAAATCATCTCTTCTGTCCTCACCACCAAAATAACACATTAGCTCTGAGGAACAAGAGGCAGCCACCAAGTCATGTTCCATGCACCAACCCAGCCTGGCCTTCCAGGTCCCCAGTCCATGTACAAAGCAAGGCTGGCACAGCCCGGATTTAAGAGCTGACAGTGACAAGCTCACAAATCAAGGCACAGACAAAACTGAAAGAAAGAGTGGGTAAAAAGAAGGGAAGAGGGATAGGTGAGGACCCAGCCACACATTCACTAGGGCTAAAGTCTGGGAAAGGCTTAGCCACAAAATCTGCTCATGAATAATAGTTCAGCAATACAGAAAATTGCCGAGACAAAATACAGCCAACTCTATCAAGGGAGAGAGTTTATAAATCACTTTGTCCAGATGTTCTTAATAGGGTAAGGATGTAGCTGGAGGGCCATGGGAATGTGTCCGGCAGACTGACTGCACAGGAGCCGCACGCCTGAACTCCGGCATCCCACAGACATCGACGGCCGGACTAGTCCCCCAGCCCCTTTCACAGTCAGTGAGCAGGAACAAGCTCACCTGGCAAGCAACAGGGCTCATCCTAAATCTGCTCTCAGGGGTGGCTTTCTCCAGCAGTGCTTGTTTTAACAAGCTCATACAAAATGCATCACAGCAGTGTTAAGACAGGAATGACATTGGCTTGGCCCCACAATTCAAGAAATACACAGACTGGAGAGGGTCCAAACGAAGGCCACGAAAATGATCAAAGGGCTGTAGCTACATGGAGAAGACAAAGGGCAATGGGTACAAGTTGCACTAAGAGAGGTTTTATCTTGACATAAGTAAGAAATTTTTTACAGTGAGAACAATCATTCTCTGGAACAACCACCCCAGTGACATGGTAGAGTCCCCATCACTGGAGGTTTTCCAGATGTGACTGGACAAGGTGCTAGATGATCTCCTCTAGACTCTATCTTTTGAGGTCCCTTCCAACCTGGGCTGTTCTATGATTTCCCACTTCCTACTTATTTTTCTAAGCACTACCTCATTTTTGTAAAGAGAAGGCTCTTTGAGGTCCAAACCTTGGAGGTGAGCATCTCTTGGCCCTGACTATCCTCTTGCAGTGGGGACACAGCAGAATCACTCTCTACTTACACCACCGGTTGCCACAGGTTTTAAACTAAAGGAATGGCCATTGACCTCCAGCAGCGACCACTGCTGAGGGACTTGCCTAAACAGGAGGTGGAGGGCTCGAACTGGCACCAGTGGGGCATCCATCCATCAATCCCAGTGGGGCAAGAAGCCCATGAGCACAGGGACCATAAGCACTCTGCTCTGTGGGGAAAACTATTAGCCATGGATGACCTGGCATTAATCCTGACTGCTTGGTTTGCGCTCAGCTAACTGCGTGCTCACCAGCATATATCACACGGGGAGGTTACTGTGCTCTCCTCCTTACGTACAGGTCATCACTAACCCCACACCCCTATGTGGTGCAGGGCAGCAGAGGGGTAGCGGGGGGCAGGGTCCAGCCCATCTTCTCTACAGGCGTAAAGATACTATTTTCTTCTGTGCCCGGAGGAGAGGAAATAAGCATTTCTGCGAAATGTTAATGAATTCATCACTTTACCATTCATACTATGCATGAATGTGTATGGGGGTTTTCTATATTTAGAGAGCAAGAGAGAAAGATTGCTCACTTGAGTAGATCTAAGCCGAAAACGTTTGTGAAAATGAGCATGGTAGACTGGTCTGGAATTTGTGCTGATGCTAATACAGACTCAAGAAAAATCTCAAGTACCCTGATTTTCAACATTATTACCCTCTTCTGGCCCAGAATAGCATTAAAGACACCCTTCACTGCTCCTCCACACACGGTCCTGCCATGGAATCAGGAATCCTGTATGGAACATGGGAGTTTGGAGCCCAGGCTTGTTTTATGAATAAAAGGTGGATTGGGGTGAAACAAAGAAGATCCACACACCCAAGGAAGACAGTTGCAGGCATTACAGGAGATCTGAACAGCCAGCAACTACCAGCTCGGCCTCAGCACTCAAACAGAATTAAAAAGAAATAAACGGTTACTAAAATTGTACACTCTCCTTCTGGTTTTTGAGTCTGTAGGCATCCTTGGGTCATGGTTTCAAATTTTCTGAGATGCAAAAATGGAGAATAAAGACTTGTTTTTTCTATAATAAGAGCAGAAATTCTTACCTAACCACTTGTCTTTGGGGGCTGTGGCCATGGCGAAACAATAATGTACTAAAATCAGGACTGGTAAATTCTGGCATCTGTCAAACTGCTCAGTTTCCGATCTCTGTTATACTGGTGTCAAAACCAAGTAGCTCTCACCCAGACAGAAACTACTGCACTTTGCTGTACCCATGTTGATGTTTTATCTTCATAAAATGATGTAACGATGTTTTATGATGTTAAAAATGATGTCACGATGTTTTATGTTCATTCACAGTAGGTTTTAATAAAACGTCAGCTGTAACTGGCACAGAAAGCCAGTTTATGTGTAAAACAGATAACAGCTGATGAAAGATCAGTTCTTGGCGCATGCCCACGATCCAGATCACAGGCAATAACACAACACTTGAAAGCTCAGTGAAGCCTCACGAGCCACTTGGACCAAGACACGAGCCTTTTTTCTTTCCCCCCTTGGTGTCACCAGAGCCTCCCAAATGCCAGCTCCCCTCTCCAGGGCAGGGTTTGCTACACCCAGCTCTGCAGGGGTGGAAGGTGCCCATTCAATGCTCAGGCACATGCTCCTTCCCCAAACCTCCCATTCTTCTACAATACTCCCCCAAAAAAGCAATTTTCAGCCCTATAACTGAATCCCGGTGCCAGAGCAGCGGTGCCCAAGGGTCACAGGCAAGCAGCTGGTTGAGGGCATTAGGATGGAGACCATCACCCCTCCAAGGATGTGTCCTCAGGGAAGGGCTTGTCTACCCACACCGAGCCCAAACCTCCCAAGCTATAAACCACAGTTGCCACCGTGTTTTGTCACTGCTGCTACCGAGAAGAGCTGACCCCATCACCTCCATAGGTACCCATGGGCAGCCGCCAGCTGTGCCGTGGCCCCTTCTCTCCCCCTCCCAAAGCCAGCCCAGTCCCCTCAGCCCCAACGTGCCAGCATGCAGCCCACTCCATAGACATATATTTTTTTTTTTTAAGATAAACATGCATTACGCCGTACAGAAGCAGATATATTATCCTAAAGGGTTATTACACGGCAGTGCAATTCATTTGAAGATTCAGAACTATTTCAATGAATCATTTGCAAAGATTAACACCAGACAGTCAGCAAGGACCCAGAGACAGAGAAGCAACGCTTAAATATTTCCCGTTTCTGATGTGGTTTCGGTCTGGTTTTGAAAAGGATCTAAAGAAAAACCTCATAGGAAGCTCATTGCTGCGACATTACAGGAAAGCCACAGTTTCAGAGTAATAACAGCATCCCCAAGAAGCAGATTTCCTCCTCAAAAAAATACTCGGAGAAGATGGTTTTCTTACATTCAAACTGTACTACTACTCTCGCCTCCAGCAAAACACCAAAAAAATGCTTGTTAGGCAAAGAGAGTTTGCTGCTATTTAAAGGCAACTCCTCGAGGCATGGCCTGGGTGATGAGTTTCTGCATCGCACCCTGCTGCCCGCCTGGGTACCGCTCTGTGGCTGCCTGCAGCACAGCCCGCACTGCCAGCACATACGGCTCCTCCTCTGGCATCCAGAAGCCACCCAGCAAAACGAAAACACAGAGCTGTCCTCCAAAAAAGCCTCTTCCAATTTGTACCCTACTGACCGAGCGGTTTAAAAGAGACCAAGGCATTTCAAATACCATCCAAAGCAATCATCTGAAATTAAAAAGTAAGTAAGACGGCTTTACACTTTCCTATAAACTCTGCCGCAGTTTGTAAAGGAGGTCCAAAGATGACAGAACAAAAATGACATCGTTTCCAAGCCCCGATCTGTCCTTCAGTCTCATAGCCAAGCCAGAAAGGAGTATAAATACCTTATTCTACATTTAAAATATTTTCTCTGCCCTGTCACTGCATAAAAATCTCAGGTAAACAAGAAAGGAAAATAATTATTTAAGGGAAATAACAAAAGGACCATCGAAGTACTCCAGGGTCCCAAGGGCTGCCTAAAGGCTGTGCCATGAACTCCCCAGGGTGGACCCATCAGTCCCTCCAACGGGTCACAGGGACCCTCCATGGAGGTTGGATGCTTCTCCATGTGCATCCTGGCCCATGAACCCTAGCTTCCCTCCCAAGCATCAGCCCAGTTTCAAGAGGTGGGGATCGCCATACCTCAGTCACACATCTGTGCCGCTCTCCCAAGGCTGGGAGACAGATTTGAGTTTCCTTCAGCTCAGAAAAAATTAATTCATGTGTCCCGTTTCTTGGTTTACCTATAAAAAGGAGCTGCCGCTTCCAACAGCATTGCAAAGGATGCTCTCGGTACCGCTGGCAGCTCTTCTCTGGCAGCACTGGGACTCCTTTGCAGCCCCAGCTCCAGTGAAGAGCAGGGGCTCAGACACACATCGGTGATTGGCAGCTCCCCAGCTGATGTGCACGTTTTCTAAGTCACTTCTGGGGTGGCTGACTCACTCCCGCACCCCGTAATTCTGCTTGGGAAGCTCACATCCACTGCCAGGGCTCCCGCGCCCCGCGAGGACTGAACAAGCATCACTGATATTATTTTCACAGGAGCAGAGCAACATCTTGCAGAACAGAAATCCAAGCCACATAACGCACACCAGATGTGAGTGAGCAGCACCTCTCACTTCCCACATGAAAGCTGAAGATCTACCACATCTGAGCTGGGAGAAGCCTCACCCCTGCGCCTGGCAGGAGTCACCAGACCGAGCCCCCTCTC